GTTAGGCTACAAGTACTCAGTAAGCATCTCCCATGGAGAAATAAAACAATTCAACCTCTGTTGCTTTCTTTATGCCGGTATCTTGAGCTGCAGCTCCCTAGTTCATTCCTTTTGATGCAGAGCTGCAGGCTCCGTGACCTGGAGGTTTCCAGGAAAGTGAGACAGGCAACGAATGCCCTTTGTGTGACTTCAGCTAGAGCAGGAACTGGAACCTGGGGTCAGTGGGGATGATACTGGAAGACCTTGGACAGACGACCAAGGAGGAAAGGCAGACCTCTGTTGGACATCCTCACCCTACATCTGCTAAGGCCCAGAGTCACCCCAAGGAACAAAGAGACTTCATGACTTGGCCTGTCACAGCTGGCAAAAATCTGAGTCAAGATTCAGGACTTGCATCCAGTTACAGTTCAAGTGAAAAAGTTGAAATTAAATTAAAAAATCAAAAGTGATAGTAATATTAACATGAATCATACAGAAACATAATGGCAGCTACCACGTTTTGAGGCCTGGTGCTAAGCCAACTGTGTTAGTTCACCTAATACTTATAGTTACCATGTACAGAAGGTGGGCACAGTCAGCATGCCTATGTTCCCAACTATGATATAGTTGGGAAAACTGAAGTTTAGATCAAATTACTACACAGGGTCACACAGCTAGTGAGAAGTAGGAGGATCTGAACTCGGTTTTGCATGACTCTGAAGATCATGCTCTAAGCCCTAGACACACTGTTCAATGGCACCATGCGAAGGGAGGACAGTGAGGCAGGTGAAGACTGGAAACCCTGGAGAGAGGACATGAGGCTCACTCCCCTCTAGAGATGGAACTCAGTGTTCACAGGAGATACCAAGGGGTAGGAGATGAGCACAAAGACCAGAGGCTGCCCAAGATGCTCTGTCTACCAATGCACTGACCCACAGGGCAGCTGAGCCTCAGCTGTCCCATCTGTTAAAGGGGGATGCAAACACCTGCCTCACGGGTCTTTGTGAGATTGGACAGCAAGCTCATCTGTCTCATGCCTGGCTCTGGAAAAGCAGTCAGGACACCCAGATGTCCTGGTACCCACCTCCCCCCAAACTGCCAGATGGCTTCCTGGGATTGAGCATCATGGCCGTCAGCCCTGATGACAGCAGCCTCAGCAGCAAGCTTTGTGAGCTGTGGACGGAGTGCTCACACCTGTCTGCCACTGCACTCTCCAGGGCCCACTTCAAAGTGGAGCATCCAACACCGACATCAAGGTACAGCATAGAGGATGCGGTGGCTTTGGCACCGGTCACTCTCTGGGAAGCCACGGCCACAGACTTTGCATGAAATTTTCATTAGCAGCACAGCCAGGCCTGCTGCACTTCCTCCCGGCCCTGCCACTCAGCCTCTTCTCTTGGAAGGAACATCTGGGAAAGTTAGCAATAAAAACTCCCTCATGGGGTCCCTGAAAGGATCCTAGCGCCTCCCTGTCTACCCTCCTGTGCATCCTGAGGCTCTAGCCCTTGGACCATGCCCACAGCGGACGCTCCTCATCAAAGCCCCAGAAATAGATCTGGGCAAGGTCTTTGCCCATTTCGAAGCCATGATGTCACAGTCAGAATCTGAGAGGGTTCATTTAAAATCTGCAGCTTCCAAAGTGACGCTTTCCCTCTGGTAAGAGGTCACCAGTGTAGACAAGCCTGTCAAATAGACCCACAGTCCCAAGCCACAGTTTCCTTCTGCAATCACTGGCAAAGCTTCCACAGAGAAGGGGGGTGTGCCCTGTCTGAAGCGCAGCCACTGCTTTAACTAGG